TGACTCTTTTAGTTTTAGGACTTACAAACAACCGTTATGTGAACAAAACTATAATACTCTCTTTAGCAACTTTGTTGCGAGAGTATAAAAACATAAGCATATGTTCAAAATTTATGTAAGAATCATTTGAAGTATTTTTTTTTACTTAAAAAATTAGAAATAAAATCACACAGCTATTGGCAGGGTACAGTAATTTTGTTTACATACACATATACCTTCATACATATACATATGAATTATAGTGATAGTTGTAACTGCACAAGAAAAGGTTGAAATATATGTAATTTGAGATGAGTACGTAATTGCTGACAAATATTCCTGTATTTTCTAACGTGTAGTATCTGGGTTTTAGCAGTCGATTTTGCAATTACATTACGATGAATTACCATGATTAGATTTGATATAGGGCGTGAGAAGCGCACCCTTCTGTTCTACTTCTACACTGTTATTCGCTATAAGAAGAAGCATATGTAAATATATGTGTAGAGACTGTGAAGATGTTGTTACATCATATATATTTATGTATGTACTATTCCTTAACTAATCCTTAAGGGATCGTCTCAGTGTAAGCCTCCGAAAAATCACTGATTTGCGCGATTTTTTTTTTAATGTTTTAATTTACTAATAAGTCCGATTTTTTTATAAATAAATATGTTCATGACGAATACAAAATGATTTTTTTATGTTTATTTATGGGGTGCACGATAGCTAAATAAATGGTTGAAATGACTAGTAAAAAAAAGGTCCTGTACGATGTCCACGATTGCGGCCGTAATTTTGGCCTAAACGTAAAATTAAGATTATTGATCTGTAGAAAAGTCGCTATCGAGCAATGGAAGCTTTTTTTATCTTCAAAACTCTTCCTTTGAGAGTGGAAACTGTTTTCCAAAAGTTTGAAGAATGTTTATTATAGTACATAGTATCCGATAATGCAACAAAAACATCTTTTTCTCGAAAATTTGACACTGAGACCGATCCCTTCAGTGATTTACGAAGTCAATAAAATATGTAGATTTCCAATTTAACTATTCCATGCTATTACGATAAATGATATCCTGGAAAACAAGGAGCGAGCGGAGCCGCGATTTAAACTAGTTAAATATAATTACATATACAGTATGCTTTAACCACATAAATTTGTGGCCGGGTCTTCTAATATACATATATATATATATACTATATATACATATATATAATTTTGTTCAAAAAAGTAATAACTCGTATTTTCCTTTATTATTGCAGAATTCGAAAAGTGGAATAGCGGAGTTAAAAACGCTGACTATGTTTTCCACAATTAAAAATATTAATTTCGCAAGTGAATCGAAGCTGAATGTAACTTTTGGTTTCTCAAATGCCTTTTAAAGAGAGACAATTATAAACCGACAAACACAAACCAAAATTACGTAAATGAATTTAACTTAACGTCATCACAATGTACCTATTCACTGCACTGGACGAAAAAACGCTACTATATCTCCAATTATTGCTAAATATATCTACTTTGAGAAGAGTGAAATCAACTATTCGAACAATAAAAATTAGAAGACGTACAATTGCTCTGACTACTAAAAGAAAATTCAAAGTCGAATCCCAAAAGCATAGTGATGTTGGTTATTCTAACGTAAATTTGTACGCAATAAGACTTCAACTCTCTCCTTCCTTGGAATGTCAGAATAAAACACATATAGATTTAACTGTTAAACATGGATATATGATAATAATAAATAAATCATTATAACCTTATAATCATTTGTTAAAAATTATTACCACATAAAAAAAACTAATCCAACAATCAATCATTGCAGAGCTAATAGTACCAACGTACGCTAAATTGCATAAAAACTATGTGGAATATACCAACCTTGAAGATGGTATGATTATCTACGGAAATTAAAATTATATTTGGAATTAAAAACTGAAGAAGTCAATCTTTAATACGTAAATTTATGCATATGTATTTATTTATATAATTGTACAATATGAATTAGTAACCGTAATTAAAGTACATATGATAACCGAATTAAGCGTCCAGAGAAAGGCTTAAATATGACGGTAAGTAAATAAATAGATACAATTTTGTATATAAATAATCAATAGATATATGTATTTTTGTTTACACATGTATTTTTATTATTATTTTGAGACAAAAATTCTCATTTATAGGGGCATGTGTACGGCAAGTCCAAAGCTAAAGTTGACGAAACAGAAATTCCTAATTAAGTATTCTGCGCATATTGACAATCATATGATTTAACTAAGCTTAATTAGAATCTTATAAATCTAAAGTTCCATTACAGAACCCTCCTTCCAACAACTTGGGTTACAGTAACAAACAAATCCTTCTTAAATTTTATACCATGATTCCACAACTTAATAAATTCGTCTGAAAAAGACGATTTGTGGAGGTCTCTGCAGTAGGCCTTCTCCTCATTCCACTAAATCTTCTGCGATCACGGTTTTCTAGAGGTTGGAACTGAAGACAGTAATACGGAGCATTGTGATCCAGGTCATCGATGTATAGCATATCTGGAGAATCAACCACACGGTGGCCATAACTTTGCCAACCAATAGTATAATCTTCATATTTTATAGAGCAGGCACGCCGATAAAGTACACTTTTCATTTCACTCCAATTGACGGAGTCAAACACTACTCTGAATGGGTTACCTTGGGATTGGATTGTTCAAACCAAATGATCAATTACGTTAACACTTGCTAATTAGCTTTTATTGAGATATATGCGATATAAAGTCACTCAAGGAAATTAAATGAATTTTATCTTCACATATAAATAGGAATATGCCTAGATCAGGCGTGAGACTAATTTTATTCATATTTATCGTTAAAAGTCTTACGGTTAAGCCGTGCCATAAATTGGTTTCATAAACTCATACGTTTCGATGAAAATTTTACTAATTTTAAAACAAAATTTTATGTTGGCTTAAAACGCAATAACTTCACTTCCAATCGATGAAATGTCATGAAATTCTCACTACACAATCGATAAAGATAGCAGATTTTACCGCACCAGTCGACATATAGATGGCACCACCAGGAGGCGCTAGATACAAAAAGTGCTGTTTACTTTGGAGTGCTCCTTCTATATGTAAGGTTTAGCACTAGCTACAGAGCCGCCGTGGAAGATGTTCTTAGAGTTTCGTTATGCATAGCGTAGCGAGCCGCTAAACCCTTTTCACTGGCTTCCGGTAGATGGATTTTCGTATACCTTTCCGCAAACTACTGCACAGTTGAGGGGAAATGGTCTTACAATCACTGTGTAGTACAACTTCAAGAGAGAGGGAGAAACCTCGCGGTTGTGCCGAGCATCCGCCTACAAGAATACTATATAAAGCATTGCTGGTATTTTTTCTCTTTCTTCCACATTTTACTTTGATAGCAGTTAGCTAACCAAGACTACCCCAAGGTACTTAGTACAGTTCTTGAGAGAGAGTTTTGTCCTATTTATCAAAGAGAGCTTACTATAGGCGTAATACTTGATTAAATTCCTTTCCGCACCCTTCGATATAGATTAGATTTTTTCTAATAATATGTAAAGTATTTTTTACGTACGAAAAGAAAATTTTCTAATATTCATATATACCCTGTATTATAATGTTAAACATATTACTTTTATTGCAGTCTCATTCACAAAGCAACTACTACTACAACAATGAAAACGATGCCTTATCCTGCAATAGCCGACCAATCAATACCACTTTACATAGAGAAAGTAGTAATGAACAATATAAAAACAACGTTGATGTATATAATTACAGTAATACAAATAATTACGACAACGGCTCGAAAGGATCAATGGACATTATAATGCAGCGTATATCTTACGACTCTGGTAATGACATATACGTGGATAGTAATAAAGAATGTATGAATACGTGTGGACGTGTTAACGATGTATTATTGAAAAAGGGTGCCACTACATCAACTAAATCATTAACATCTATAACTCTGCAAAAAGACTATAGTAATGGGAGCAGTTATATCATCGATGACAACCTAGACGATCAAAATCACATATACAATAGTTACACTAACGATAGCTATAAGAACGAAGATATCGTTTATAGTACACCAAGCTATTACAATAATCCCATTAGTGCTATAAATGATGATAATAAAGTGAGATTTAATCACGACACCAATGAATACAGTGATGGGTACAGCTGTTGGGAGAATATTCTATATAAAGACGATCCCCTTAGCGAACGACATAAGTCTATTACCAGTGCGAAAGTATTACCACGCATACCAATGAAACAAAGAGGCGGGTTACTAGATGGTTTGAACGAGTATGATGACAAGAAAATGCCACAGAAATGTTATGATGCGAACATTCCTCTAACGACGTCATCCATAGTACCGTTAAAAACAATGGAGACAGTACTTATATCGGCCAATGTACTTGCGAATGAGAGCCGCACTAAATCTAGTTGTTCTACTTTGAATACCACTGTTTCTAAAAATATTGGTATTAAAGAGGATGCATATAGTGGCTCGGCGCCATTGCGTTTACTGCCACAGCTTCATCTTAATCAGGAATATGGAAATGTACATCATAAGAAAATTGGAAACGGTCATAATATTGGAACAATGATGTCTTCAACAGAAATCACACCGCCGACTTCAACTAATGTGTGCGAGGATACTTGCGACAATAGGACAATAATAAGGAACTATGAATATATTTATGGTGATACGTATTATAATAGCAAGAACACCTCTAGAGTTTCAACATCTAATGAAACTTTATTGCAACGGCAATATGCATCGATGACACCACAATGCTATATGGAATACGATGATTGCAGTGCATCATACAATACTGCGTGTAGCAACAGCAATATAACCGATAATTCATCAACGTGCTGCGACTTAGCTACATATTCCGCTGAAACAGCACAAAAGTTACACCTACAGCAACAACGCAAATATGCAATTATGATGGCAATGACTACGGCGTCTGTGATAGCGTCCGGCGAAACACGTATGCCGGTGAAACGTTGCACTGAATATGATGTGGCGACGCATAGTGAAAATGCGATAGTAGCACAAACTGACTCTGTATCTTTTGGCGGCTATGAATTTCGTAGTGATGAAGCGTCATTGTTGTGGGTGCGAACGAATGAAGGAGTAAACAGCAGGAACGGCCTAGTGGTAACAAACTCCGCCATGGTGAGTGCAACAACAACGTCGGCAGGAAGTAATATTCTACGTGACACGAGTTCGTCGGTTGCAACCCATTTGACAATGGAAACACCATCAACTCTCTCACTAACGACTTCATCTAGAAAATTGCCAAAACGTCTACCCACGCCAAAAATTAAAAGGAATAACAAAAATAGCAACTGCCATGACAAAGTGAATGGTTCCAACAAGAAACTACCACAATTGCCAATTGAAAAAGAAACACGCACTGCTGAAAACGTGGATGTGGTAACAAAAAGTATAATAGAAACATCGCAAATGAAATCGGCTAATGTAATTGCAATAACGAGTTCATTCCCTTCAGTAATGGCAGACACATTTAGTGCATCCAAATCAGTAACATGCGTAGAATCATTAACAACGTCAATAGCATCAGCATCGTATTCAACATCATATCTACCATATAAGTCGATTGTAACAGCAACAAGCAATGCATGCGTAGTTACTGATTTAACTAAAACAATAAAGAGTAAGGAACATTTAACAAAAACAATGTTGCCAACTTCAACAAAAGATAGAGAAGTTATTGCGCACAGCAAAATAAACAGTAACATTAGTATTTATAATAACAATAAAACCTTTGGTAAATATGATATTGAGAAGGAAGACAGCATCAACTACAACAATAATAATAGTGTTATCATATCACCAACATCAATTGAATGTAAATTATCAGTAACAACAACAACGCCAACGAACACAATATCTACGCTTTCAGGCGAATGTCCATTTTATCTCGATCAACAGCCAAGCTATTCTATAAATATGAGCACCAGCAGCGACAAAATTGATGATAGCATTGCGGTTAAATACTCTAGTATATATGCTAATATATATGATAATTTTTTAAAGACAACTTCATTCAATTCGCCCCTATCATCGCCTTCCATAAAAATTCCACCAAAACCGTGTAGTAAATTAACTAAACCAACATTGTTAGGGAATACGGATGCTATTAAAAGCACAACAGGCCAACCCGCAAGTGATATTTCATCTATAACTGTAACGACATTAACCACGTCATCATCAACGCCGACAACAAATAAAACAGTTATGTTTTCTGAATATAGTTGTGACAAAAGTGATAGTATTTTATGTAATGTTAAACTTAATAATAACTTGAGTATTAGTACTGACATGGGATTCAAAAATAATATGGCTATGAGTACCGAAGAAAATTCATTTGCGGCCATCGGTACTTATAATCTAAATGCTAAGGGTATATTTGATACAACAATGTCTAAAATTTATGATGAATATCTTAAAAATGCTGGTGAGTGTTATTTAATATCCACTGCAACAACTTCATCAACGTTAACAACAACAATAGCAACAGATACCTCGTTATCAGATACGAGTTGTACACCATCAAGTACAAGCATAGTAGTTGCAAAAACGTGTGATACACTCGAGTCACAGGCTTTCACATTAAATACACTAGATAAAATATCGGTAACACCAACGACACCGACAACTTTTCTTTTCACTTCATCTTCATTTGATGTACAAAATGCCTCGAATCTGAAACCGTTATTGCCACCACCCGATACAACAACGTTTTTTATTGGACATGATGTGGCGCGGTCCGAAAATGATCAAAATGATTCTCATGGCATAATCACAACCACACTATCAACAGTAACAACATTACCCAATAATAATGTTGAGCCATTGCTCACAACAACTGTTGCATTAGCGAATATGACTATAACGACAACAATTAACAACACGGTAAGTATCGCTGAAACGAGTAGATCAACAACATATACGGATTATTTGGCAAAATATCAACTGCCAACAGTATCAGTGATTGATAGTAGCGGTGGAAGCAATAACAAGGTCGTTGCTCCTGAATTACCATCATACATCAAAGAGTTTTTAATCAGTGATACAACAAATCTAAATATAAGTGACAACTTCAGCAATAAATATGATGCAATGTTGCATATATTTGATAAGAATGCGTACACATTGCCTACAACAGATGTACGCACTTTACCAAATACAAATTTTACTCCATTAAGTAAGGCGAGCGTCGAAAATGGTATGACTACCGCTACAGAGACTGAAGTAAGCAAGTACGTAGCCATTCCAACGACCATGTCGGTATCAGCAACGGTACCGTCACGCACTTCGGCATTTGATGACAGTTTTTACGATAATTATAATGTTGATTGGTCATCGTTGGCAGCTCTTACCACTATTGACAAAAATAATACCGAAATATCACAAAAGCCAGACTTGTCATCCTCTGACATAATAGTTTGTAAGGATGATACCACTACAACCGCTGCTGGAGTTAGTATATTCGGGGGTTCACAAGGTAGTTATTATCGCCCATCTGTACTAACAAATGCAGATGCATGTACAAAAGAAAGTCCCCCTTTAGCGACAACAATTTTAACAGTAGCGGAAACAACGTTATCACCTTCTGCACTTAGCGTTGCTGGTAAGGCTACTAGTATGTTGGGTGGTATTTCTAAAGGTTTCAAAGGCGGCCTAGACGGTGTGCTCAGTAGTGTAAATACTGCAACGGCTACAAGTGATTCGGAGTCAAAACAACAACAGCCGAAAAAGAGTGGATTCGGGTTTGGTTTGGCGTCGAAATTCGTTCCAAATGTAGGTGGATTGTTTGCTGGCACCACGACTCTTGTGCAGCAGCCAAGCGTAGTTGGGCAATCAACAAATATAAGTATCAATGTGACTAGTACAATTTCAACAAAAACTACAACAACCACAACATTCAATATGAACACACGAATGGATAGTTGTGGTTATGGTTCCTACGACAGTACTACATTTGCAACTACTGGTGATGACTCCTACGGGCAAATAAATAGTTGCAGTGAACCATTGTATACGAATAGTGATATGACTTTTTCTTACGATATGAGGGACAATGCTTTACCTAGTCAGCAGAGGCAATCTATACAATCTGATGAAATAATCATAGCTGATTCGCGCTTGATGTCTGAGAACATCAGGAATTATGGTAACAATGATAACATTATGTACGTGCAGCCACATGAAATTCATCATCTATTGCCTTCAAGTGAAGTGATGACTAGTGATACTAAAAAAACTGACCTAAATAGCTGTGCATATAACAATGGCTCTGACGGTGCTGATCTGACGCCTGTTGTGAGTGAAAAGTATGGCAACGTTAACTATAATCAATATGCAGCTGATATGCAGCAAGCTGTTGATGATATGCAAAATCTTTCTAATGTAGAGCAAATCAATGAAGAAATACCTATTGGTATGATTGACAGTAGTACAACAGCTTATGTTGAAAATGATATGACAACTACATATTACCACCCACAGCAACAAAATAGCAGAGAACATACACCACATCTACAACAAGAGCAGATGGAAGGTTTAAATAACACGAGATTAATAAATTCTGCGTCACTTGCGAAAAAGGCTTCCTCATCTCTCTTACCAGCTATTTCGAATTTCACTGCACATGTTAATAACCAACGACTACCTACAAGCAGTGTAAGTAGCACCAATAGTAAGTCACCGTTAACAGCGAAGCCAGTAAAGCCTAGCGCCGTTAGTGGTGGTGGTATGTTTGGTTCATTTCTAGGGAAAGCAGCTGCAGCAGTACAGTCTGCAACACAAGTCGTCAATCAGGCGACTACATCCGTACAACAAAAGGCTGCAACAGTTATACCGTCAGCATCACCGCAAACAGCTGCAACAATATCAACAGCATCGATTGCAACAACTAATCAGCAGCAAAAACTGCTTTCACAACAAAGCATAACATCATCAAGCTATTATCCTGTTACAACAACAATGGCCGAGGATTATGACAATAGAAATTTGTACAACTACAAAAATAATGTTGAAACTGCAGAAGCAACAGTTAAAGCAAATAAATCAATGCCTGTTACAGATACTACAGGACTAGAATACAGCAAATACTATTTGCATGGTAATCAAGGCCAACTCCAAAAGCAACAAAACTGTAAATTTTTGCCGTCGGTGCCAACAGCTGGATCCACAGGTAAAAAGCTGCCCACCATCAATAGCAGTAAATCTGGCTTTTTAATAAAGCAACAGCCAACGGAAATCTACGACGACGATCTAATTATTGATCTTGTGAATGATAGCAGTCAACATCATTTGATCGGCCTTGCCGATGAACATAATGACTTGCTCGACGACAGTGAAGCCGTCGACGAACTAAATGATAATAATTTGAGTAATATAGATGTTGATGATGATGATGAATTAGATCGGTATTCCGTTGAAGATCTTACTGGTCGAGAGCTAAGCCATAAACAGCACAGCTTACGACACATTCAGCAAATTTATGACATCGATAGTGAGCAGGCTAATTACTACACGGACCCCCAGCTGCAGGAAGCACCGTCGGATTCACAACAAAAGTTGTCTCAACATCTTCAAGAAGGCTTGACTGCCAATGGTTATTATGAGCATTCGAATGGTGGTTATGATTTTCGCGAGGATTATTTTAATGAAGAAGATGAGTATAAATATCTTGAGAAAGAACAGGAAATACTCTTTCAACAACAACAACAAACCCTACAAAAGCAAAAACAAAAGTATCAATATGAAGATTCTACCGATATTTATATGGAAGATAATTATCAAAGCGAAGACAGTGGCAATTATCTAGATGAAAGTTCGAGCAGTAGTGTTATTGGTGGAGCGGCTAACACTTTAGAAAGTAAACAACAGTCAATACAAATAGCTGAAGAACCAATCGGTGGAGAGCATGACGAAATGTCGAACGACATGAACACAATACCAACAACAGATAACTCTTTTGGTATGGCTAAAGCAAATACTGCTGCTTTACCGTCGTCGTCCCATCAACATCAAATTAAAAAACAGGATAGCATAATTGTAGAAGAGGATGAAGAAGACATATTGCTCAATGATATCGGTGTCAACAATAGCGTCCTAATTAAGGATCAACTGCCGCATAGTTGTAGGTCAAGCCATGAGTCCATAATTGAAAATGAAAATGACGTAATATGTGAATTGCCGTCCATGCCCACTATATCACCCAAGAAAAACATGCTCGTACGCGGTGAAACCGAGGAAGTTGTCAGCGGGCACTTGCACATACTCCGCAAGTCAGAGGTTACAGCAAAGCAGCGTTGGCATTGGGCCTACAATAAAATCATAATGCAATTAAATGTAAGTACAATAACAAATTACTAAATTAATCATAGTATGTAACTAACATTTATACCTTTGGTCCTAATGTCGGAACAATATACTTTAGAACAGGTAAGGAAGAGGTAAATTCGGGTGTAACCGAACATTTCAAAATCTCGCAATTTGCACTCGTAATTTGCATAGATTTTTCTCTCAGATGTTGGCGCTACTGTATAATAAAAAATTTTGCGCAACAACACTTTCACATTATCATTAATTATTCGAAGAAACTGAATGGAGTAAGATCAAATGTTATATCTTAATAACTTACGAACATATTGCATAAATCGTATACCCACTTGGTTTTATTACTACATTTTATTTGATGCCAGAAATATTTATTTTAAAATCAAACAAAATAAGTCAAATTGGGTATAAACTTAACCAAAGCAGCTAAATTGAATTTATTTGATATATTTGAAAAACTCAATCAATTACCATAGTTGGAAGTCATTATTAGGGATATGAGGTTTAGGCTTAATTCTCGAACAATTCATGTTCAACAGTTAAATTATAAAAAATATAACTGATAATTAAGATAAGGCATCTTACTTATTTACAGATAGTTATTTACTTATAATACGTAAATTAATCCCTTCAGAGGCTTTCAACTCGCGGTTTTAATTTTAAGGGTATTAAATAATAAAGGTCCGTATCCAGCTCTCAAATAATTGCTCAAGAAAAAAAAAACATTATTTCTTCAATTTTGACAGCTGGTTACGCATGGTGAATGATCCACATTAGAAGAGCAAGAGAGAATAAACAAAGAAAATAAATTTTGTGCGTAATATGTATGTATGTATGTATGTAGTAATATAAATGTCGTTGATGATCGGTAACTTTTATACAACATTTCAAAATGATGATATACATATACTTCATAATAATGATTTTAATTAATTTATGATGAATTTCGTTAAATTACTTCGAATTTCCTTCAAGAAACAATTGTTGATTCCATGTTTCTTCGCCAAACCAGGTTTGCAATATTCACATTTTATTGAAAAAATGTATTAAAAATTAGTACTAGATTTCTTTAGAGCTACATATCTTGACCATTTCTTAAGCGTTTTTTAATACGCTTAACAAGTGAAGAAGAGCTAAGTTCGGGTGCAACGGAACATTTAAGATCCTAACAACTTGCATGAATCAACGCCAGGGAAATACTTTAAAGTAAAATGTCAACCAGATGAGCGAAATACAAGCAATTTTTTGTATACCAGTTTGCTCAATAAGTTCGGTCGTTTGATTCAAAATACACTTTATTATTCAGTTTAATCTTAATGAACATTAATAGACTTGCCTCAACGATCCTCCAATCTGTGGATCCCATCCCTGAAGTGAGAATCCGGGAGGGCTGCAAAATACGCTTCAACAGGCGTTATGACCTTTTCATTTGATGAAAAACGCTTGCCACGCATAAATTGTTTGAGTTCTAGAAAGAAATGGAAGTGGCTGGAGGCCAAATCTAGTGAATACGGTTCAAAAATTCGAACTTTAATTCATGGATTTTAGGAATTGTCAAAATGCTCTTGTGACACGGTGCATTGTCCTGATGAAAAAGGGTTTTTTTTGCTGGAACCCGGGTTTTTTATTACGATTTTTTCCTTCAACTGGTCCAAAAGGTTGCGGCATCCATTGTGCACACTGCTTTCTAAAACCTATAATTTCACTTAAAATATGGCTCACACTGCTTAATGAGATCTCTACACATCTCCCCTACTAAATCTCTCTCAGTCAATCGACGATCTTCCAAAACCATAGCCTGTATTTTGTTTATTGTTTCTGGTGTTTATGCGCTTTTTGGACGTCCATAAAAAAATTTTTTTTTGTACTACGAACCACGAGATTCTTTTTTTTTTTACTTTTTATACTTTTTTATCACAGGTCTGTAACGTCTGTAACTCTGTAGAGACATTATTGGTTTGAGGAATGGCTACTAGGCGCTAGCGAGGCAATGCGATCCCTATCTGGAAATGGAACTCCAATGGCCTTTGCTCTGCGAATACAGACTGCTCTGCAGTCGATCAGCAGATGCTCCGGAGTTTCAGGCTCCCTGTCACAGAACCGGCAGTTGGCGCAAGCTGATAGGCCCATTCTGTACAGATGCCCA